ATATATATATATATATATATAGCATGAACATGCGCATATGCATACATATGTATAACTGGAAGACAGACAAAGATACACAACATCGACTACTCCCTTTTCCAATCTTCTCAGCCCACCGCCTTTGAATCTTTCATCGCCGCCCGCGCCAAAAGCAACGCCAGCTGTCTGTACTTCCCAGCCTTTGAAAAACCGCCGCACCTGCCCACCAACTCAGTTGAGGAACTGTAAAAAGCTGACAAGTGGGCTCCACTAGTGCCAACAACGGGGCAAACATCCGCCTCAGAACGTACAAGGAACTCCTTCGCCACCGCTGGCAGCGTGGGACACTGCTGCATGCGCAAGGCCTGTACACTGCAGAGTATCTGATTCAGCACACCCTGAATAGCGCCCAAACAAGAAACAAAACAGACAATACTCACGCACACGCGGTCCACAAAATATACACACGCACTACACAAGCACACTGGCACACTGGTCGCGCTTCCTGTAACACGAGTGAAGAAGCGCGCATCAATGCAACCGTCCAGCCGTCTCTTCGCATCATCTTCCTCCAAACGCCTCTATTACCATTAGTTTTAAAATGCACCGGAGGCGCACTGATCTGGTATGCTGTCTATTAACTGCACATCCCGTGTACCGGCGAGTCTCTCTTCGCTAAAAGGTCATTTTTCTATGCCTAGCACTTCAGCAGTCATGTTTAACAAAAGGGTGCCTCGTCCGTATCAATAGATTGGATTGATATGCATGTGAAGCACTTCAAATTTAGACTAAACATCAGGCGGCCCGTCAGTGGACGTATATGTGTTTTCTCCTTGAGCAGGCAGGCAGCGCAGCGTGACCCCTCACGTGCACGGCTTGCTCCAAACGCTTCGCGACGCGAATATCGGTCCCTGAAAGCAGCACTGCTTGCAGCGTCCGAATATTTTTTGCTGCTTCAGTGACGTTCTTGAAGTGAGCCTCAGCCGCCAATCCATCAAGCTCCCACGTCGTCAAACCCTCGCTGCTCGGGTATACGTACACCCAAACCTGTTGGAGAGAGGGTCGCCTGCTATCCACCAGCACCGCTCTGCTCGGCGTCAATGCAAAGGCAGCATCAGTTGAGAGAAGGCCTGACGTGTCCCCCAGCTGGGTAATCTCCGCCGTGTAACTGGTATCTTTGAACTCCGCTGTCTCGACTCTCCACGCACACCTTTCCGCACGGCACTCCTCCCCACAGATTGTGCTATTAGGCAGGCGGGGGCAGTAATGGTCTGCGGAAGCGTCTCTCTGTAATTCAGAAGTTGGTGACAAACCCAAAATAGAGCGAATCTGCGCTGTCCAGGCGCCGCTGACAGCCGCTGCCTCCTGCAGACGTTTAGAGCTGATGCTGGATACCAGCTGGGGATCAGCTACCAACTCTGGCAAGGGCGCACCAAAGGTGAGAAAGCCCCAAGAGGGGAGCGCTAAGGCAGAGCCCAGAGGCCAGGCATCAATTCGCGACGACGGCCTGTAGAGACTGAGGTTCACAACGGAGGCAGATGGGCTATACTCGGGATCCGATCCCCAGTGCTCCTGCAAATTCAGTAACCGCCGAGCGGTTTCCTCTTGAAATGCCTCCTCCACTCGCCCGCCTAGCCCCCACCCTCGCCGCAGGAGATCCCACTCAATGTCTTCCAGTCCGCTGTCAGGCACTATCTGCAGTCATATCAAAAGCGACACAGGTTGTGCTGCACGGTGCATGCACTGCAGCTGCATGCAGGTCCACTGCACACGCTCCACGGTCCATACAACCACACTACCTCCGTACAATCCACAGGCTCAATGTGTCCGTCGCCCTTCTTAGTGGCAGGAAGCACAGGACCGTACAAACAATCAGCAGCAAGTAAGTTGGGAACCCTGGATGCACGCAACAGAGGGGAAGCAGCAGCAGTTCGGCATACCTGAGAAGTAATCTGTAAATCAACGAGGCTACTAATAGCTTGCAGAATGCCCCGCAAGTGCATTCGCAAGAAGGCCCCGCCGTCCCAAGTAAGCATCGAGGGGGCTGAGGGCCGTAAAGCCGTACTAGGGCGCTTCCAAGCGCCTGTTTCTTCTGTGTCCCTGAGCGCATCCTTGGCCTGGACGCCGAAATCTATGTCCCCCTCAGTGTTTGCTTCTCTGTCTGCATCTCCTAGCAGCCACAAACGAAGGCGCAAATCGGCGGAGAACGATGCGTCGTCCCTTAGAGGAGACAACACCCATCGCCCTAGCGCCTGAACTGCTGCCCCAGCAGCTGCCTGTTGCAATGCATTGTCGCTTGGCTTGCTGCTGCTACCAGTACTGCTGTAGCTGCCGCTGCTTCTTCTGGGTACCACCAACAGCAGAGAAGATCCAGCGCCTATGTGCAGACGGGGAACTTCTTCCTTGCTAAGAGGAGCTGTCACAAATAGTTGTAACGTGCCAAAACCCTCAGGGCCATCTGTTTCCACTGCATGCTCATCTGCATGCCTGGGAAGGGCCCTCAAGGCCTCAACATCTGAAGCGCAGGAAGTCGTCTCCCCTAGGGGAGGGGGCAAAAGACTGACTGCCAAGAGGGAATTGGCGCTTCCTGAGACTGGCGACGCCTCGCGCCCGGCAGCCTCCAGCACAGATGCAACAGGGATCGCAGTGCAGGTCGGGTATGCAGGAACGGAATTATCGTGCGGTCCTCCCAGTGACGCCAGGTGTGTGTACACCCGACGTGCAGCTGGCAGAGCGTCGGGGCATAGAGGAACTATATGCAGGGATGTAAGCCACTGCAATACATCCACCTGCAAAGATGTGGTGGAGCTGCAGTGTGGGAGGCCCGCTGGAGGACCGGTAGGCTGCGGGCCTAAGTGGCTATCCAGTTGTCGCTGCCACTGCTGAATGTGTTTCACTGCACCAGTTGAAATGGTACAGTTCTTAAGCAATGAGCCTGGTGCTGCAAAATTCTCACTATAGCCGGGCTGCAGCGCCGGTACGTCTGCTGAGGTTGCCGAGGAGAGCAAAAGTGGCAGGCCTTCACCTTGAAGATATGGACAAGGATCAGGGATGTCGTGTCTCTCTACCTGGATGCCTTTCCACCACAGCCAACACAGGATGACATTAATGCAAGCAAAAACGCTGAGAGCCAAAGGTCGTACTGTTGGCCATCGGGACGTCATCCTCCTCCAGCACGGAGCGTGCTGTATTGTGTTGAGCTGTGCTTGAGTTCTGAGATCAATGGTGACCCAAGAAAAACGGAACCTACGGAAAGGACACCGGTGAACATAGCCAAGGCATGTGGTTACAGCCTGATGCGTCTCGCGCAGACACTGCATGCAGAACCACCCGGTGCACCCTGCATATGATATCAGTACGAAACCTACAGGGGAGAACTTTCCCCTAAGGACAATAAATAAATATTCAAATAAAAAGGCGCAGGAGTCGTGTACACTTCGAAAAGCCACTCACACTCAGCCATTGGCCTACGCGGGCACAGGGCAGCAATCATTTTCCCAACAGAGTTTCCCCCAGCCCTCAAGCAAGGAGCCCTCATTCCGTTCCCTTTGGTTGAAATTCTCCCTCAGTATCCAAAAATAGGCTTCATAGTTTAATTAGTTTTCCATTTCCGCATGTACATGAAGGCAAGCAGCAGCCGACTAAGAGACCTCGCCGCTACGAGCTGCTAGACGTGGAAGGCCACCCGTGGCTTTGTGCGCGGGCTGCGTATTGCAGATTCTCTGTCACGAGATAGAATACCTTAGAACAGTTGGAGGCATGGAACCAAATCAAAGTGTCATGGGAACGCTCTTCTCCAGTAGAGATGACTGTACACTGTAGACCCCTACGGGGACCCACTGGGTCTCGCCGTAGGAGCAGCTCTGCTTATATCTGGTTGAAACATCAGCGTAGGACTTGTAAAACTTTAGGCGGTGTAGGCGAATCTCAGCAGGGAGTTACCTTTCTTCAAACTCCTCGGGAGGTAGGCGGCCCGGCGTTACTGAGTGCAAACGACGCAGCCAGCCTAGTTGATAGTGGCATATATGAAACATCTGCAACATTTAATCTGTTACGTGGAGAACGTATTAGAAACCATTCTTCCGTTCTACCTGCTGAAGGCGCTTTTTTTAGCGGGTATACCATAGAAGGACCCGTTGGCGTCCTGCGGTCCACTGTCTCCTCTAAACGCAGTGACGGGAGCGCATCAAATCCTCAAAAGGATGAACCAGCACAGCAACAGGGGACTGGTCTGTTGTGCAGTCGTTCTAGTGGTGTGTATCCAACCTTTCATGATTGGTCGGGCCAGCCGGAGAAAGGATCAGGCAGCAGCGCAAGTTTGCCGTCGCTAACTGGTAGCAGGGGTAATGTGCCAAGTGCGAAAGTAGATCTGCCTTCTCCCGCAGCAGTCGAGAACTTGCAGCACTCTCTAAGTAGTGCTGTTGAGACATCCATTATGTCTAATGGAAGTTCTGATTCTGTGAATGACACTCACGACAGTCAGAAGGCCTTGCCGCTGTCAGCGGCTGCTCAGTCAAGAGAATGTAATTCACCGCTCCAGAGGTTCCAATACGCAACAGCGCCCCAAGGCAATGCTAAATGCAGTGAAGACATAGCCGGAGTAGGAAACCCAAGAAAGCAGCCAAGGCCAAGTACACAGCCATTAAGATGTTCCTCGGGGGATGAGGGGAAAGCTGCAAGCCAACCGCATTGCTGCTCGCCATCATGGAATCCCGATCTTTGCATAGCTCCAGCCGATTCGCATGCGAATGCAACTCTACGTCAGTCTGAAAGACCGCTAGAGGGAGTCCGTACATTAGAAAGAGAACACCGTTATGACACTTGTGTTCCGACCAGTAAACCAATGTTTGCAGTCAATGAAGTGCATGCCTTGCAATCCCCCTCCTTCGAGCTCGAGAGGATTTGCACCATCTCACCGATCGACCGCAGCAACAAAAAGCCAACCGATAGGAGCAGAAATACACACGAGACTCACCAAAGCATAGAAAGATCATCCGCACGAAACCACCAACCACCCCTGATGATAGCGGAATGGCATCAACAGCCGAAACACCACCATACAGATACACATTACGACCAAGCCTCCTCAGTGGAAAGTGGCACGCAGGCATCTGAACCCGCTTCGCATCACCAACCGCGGCAGTCCTTTATCACTGATCCTAGACAACGAGTCCTGTTCACACGAACAAACTCGGCGGAAAAGAAGACGGGCGGTGAACAATCACATGAGCATGAGTACAGAAGACAGGCACCACGACGCTCATCAGCAGGAAGCCACAGTCTTCCCATGTTCATAGCACGCTCACACCAACAGCCATCACACTATCACACACTGTGTCGGACGCTGCTTCAGATAAGCAACGGTTCACTGTTCCTCCTTGGTAGGAAGAGAAGTGCTGCCGTTCACTCTGTTAGGAAGTAATCGCTGGGGTCTGTTGCGCACGAGAATTGTTCTTGTTTGAGCCGCCTTTTCCTCTTCGCGTCACTCGTTAGTGTACTAGCGCTCATGTCTTCTGTTCGCCCACGACGCTCATCAGCAGGAAGCCACAGTCTTCCCATGTTCATAGCACGCTCACACCAACAGCCATCACACTATCACACAGACACAGCCTGCGACGATCAGATAAGCAACGGTTCACTGTTCCTCCTTGGATCCTTCTCTTCACGACGACAAGTGAGACAATCCTTCATTAGCGACCCCAGACAACGCGTGCTCTTAACAAGAACAAACTCGGCGGAAAAGGAGAAGCGCAGTGAGCAATCACATGATCGCGAGTACAGAAGACAGGCGCCACGACGCTCATCAGCAGGAAGCCACAGTCTTCCAGTGTTCATAGCACGCTCGCTGAATAACCGGATAACCGAGCATACAGATGGCGCTTGGGGGGAAGGTGTCCAAGTCGGACATGAAGATAAGGAGTGCGCAGTTAAATCGCCACGGAACGTAAGGCACTACTTGGTGTTCTTTCATACAAACAGCAGTTGGGTACGGAAACAGTATATTAGCATTCGCGTTGGGCACAGTATGCCAAGCATACGACTCCACGATAGTCCAATTGTATGTAGAGTTGTGTTTTGGTGGTCGGCGATGGGGGTGGCGCATGCAGATGGATTCCCTTTATTACAAGGTTAGAGAAGTTGCGAGCGAGATGGATACTTCATGTGGTGAAGTGTACGTTGTAGGAATTTTTGGCACATATAAACGCACAAGATAAGCGACAAGAGCTCGAGATTTTCGAAGAC